ATTCGGAGTCTCTGTAGGCTTATGTGCAAAATGTTATTGTTTACTTGCATCAACTTTGCCAGAAGATCTGCAGGATGAGACCCAAATTTCTGCTCCCTTCATTTTTCAATCTCACGTCTTTCAGACGGACCAATGCAGGCAGCCCTCCGGCCACAATTGAGCCCAAAATTTCCATTGCTAAATAAGACAGTCGCTAAGTGAATTTTGCCTCATTTGGCAACCTTTCTGATCCCAGTTGTTAANGCCGAACTGCAGAACTGCAGTCATCTGAAGTAGCCTGCAGTGCTGCATTTAACCACTGCGCCACCTCGGCTTTGCACATCTCTCGAAATGCCTCTTTCTGCTCATTTTTCCAGCTTGTTAAGATTTGCCCGAATCGTGGTAGTCTCCTCTAAGATCTATCGCTTCCTCCTTTCTTTCTGTCATCTGAAAATTGAACAGAATCTGTATTTTCTAACCCCCTCAGTCAACCTATAAATCTGTTGAACACAGCAAGGCCTGGACAAGAGTCCTGTGATATACAAGTCAACAACTCAAACCACACACAACACTCATCTTGACATGGAGATATTGAGGCACACTCCCTGTGTAAGATTCTGCAACCAACCTTCCATCAGATTAGGGACTTCTAGAATGGGGAGTCCTCGTTTAGAGACCAGCAAATGTGGTTGTTAAGAAAAGCAGTCGCTAAGTGAAACTGTGTCATACTTGTGATGAATGGTCTTTGCTTTACAGGTCTGTGAAGGATGCAAACGGGAGAATTGCTCAAATAAGGCTGGTTTTCCCATCATTGTCGCAACTCCATCCACTTGCTAAAGAAGGCAGTTGCCAAATAAGGACTGCCAAAGTCTCATAGGAGATTTCGTTAAATATTTTGATTAAGTCAAGATGTTTACCATGTTCCTCTGATTATAAAAAAGGAGCTCAGATTGATTCAAAACGAATAAATTTACACATTGCTGAATTCCATCGGTTGGGTGGCTTAGGAATTGCTTTAGAGTTTTGCTTCTGTACATTTTACTCTTATTGGTCTCAATAAATACATGTTATTTATATGTCTGTAATTTTATATTTACACACGTTCGCAAATAAGGTAAAGGTTCCCCCGCACATGCGCGCTAGTCATTTCCGGCTCTAGGATGGTGCTCATCTCCCTTTCTAAGCCAAAGAGCTAGCGCTGTCCAAAGACTCCTCCATGGTCATGTGGCCGGCATGACTCAAAGCCAAAGGCGCACGGAATGTTGTTACCTTCCCATCAAAGTGCTCCCTATTTTTTCTTCTTGCATTTTTTACATGCTTTTGAACTGCTAGATTGGCAGAAGGACAAGTAGCGGGTGCTCACGCCGTTACGTGAAGCTAGGGATTCAAACCGCTGAACTGCCAACCTTTCTGATCGACAAGCTCAGCGTTTTAGCCACTGAGCCACCATTCACAAATTTAATTATTTATATATCTTATTTGGAAATTTGGATTTATATGGTTTTGGAGTAGGAGTAAATCTAGTCCATTAACATGCTGCTAGAATCAGTTTTTCCATCAGTTTTTTTTTTGGATAAAGGAGTTGAAATAGTTTGACTTGAAAAGGTTATACAAAAGCGGCTTCCAGAATATACTAAATTTTGCTGATAGATCAACAGTTTGACTCACTATTAAGAAGCTTTGGGGATAACGTCATCCACACTCCTACATTAACATTAATTTAGGAGGATGATAGCAGCAGTTTAAGAACTTTTTTTAAAAAAAACTTTCTATGCCACATGCTATCAGTATGTTTAAAGCCAAGCTCTAAACCAAATAAATCATCCGGGATACAATTCAGTATTAATTGGAGTTGGACTAATTGATCTCCATGTCTTTTCCCAAGAAATGAAACAAGCGCTTTGTGCCTCCCTCAAAATGAAAAATGCACAGCTCAATTTTAATGACATTTGCAACATTTCCATTTAAGAAAAGATGAAGTATTAATTTAGTATGTAGCTGCTTCTGCAAAAGCAAAAACGTAAGCTAACAAATCATGATTTAGAAAGGTGAGTTCTTTTATCCTTCTGCAGCTTTAGATTGGCAAAGAAATGGGGAACCTCATTGTGTGTACGCAGCGGAACAATTTTTAGCATTCTGCATTTTTACCAATTCCATTGTTTATAGGCCAAGTTAACCTCAACTAGCCATTGTAATTTCTCAGCCAATACCGGCCTGGATAAGCTCTTTGGCAGCTGACATTCGTTTCACATTTTGGAAGCATATTGAGAGATGTAAAGGAAGGAGGCTGTTACCAAGAAAGGAGAATATTTGTAGCTCAGGGTTGAAGCCAAGAGTCCTTGGTGCTCTCAGAGCTTGGTGGTTTTTGTTATAACCCNTTCAAAATTAATGTTTTAACAATCTTTGGCCCATTATGTTATTATTCACTTTTATTGTCAATACTTTTAATTATATTTTAATGTTAGTATTTTTTAATATAGTGTAAAAACAAATGTATATTGCTGGTCTTTGACCGTAATAAAGATCTTACTTACTTACATCTTATAGCAATATGCAATCCTTAGCAAAGGAAGACATATACAGCAAAAGGGTGATTAAAACATTAATTTTGAAAAATTACAAATGGATTGAAGGTCCAGATGAACTTTTGAAGTAGGAGTTTCAAAATAAATTATAAGAATCCTTTCCATGGGGAAAAAGCCGTTGTTTTGAATTCTTAAAAAAAGAAGCATGAAAAGACGTGACTTTGAAAGCCGGATACTAGAGGGAACCAGAAAGAATTAAAGATTGCAATTAAAAGAACAGAACATATTTGATTTATTAATAGAATATAAAAAAGTACTTTAACATTGGATGTGATGAAGGATATTTTTAAAACTGTGGTCCCATAAGTGTCTTGCATTATAGATAAGACTATTTTTAAAGGAGGGTATGGAAGAGACGTTTTATTGGACAAGACTGAGATTGATTTAAAGTGGATTTAAAAATGACAGTATAAAATGGTGATGGCAAACCTATGGCATGTGTGTCACAGGTGGCATGCAGAGCCGTCTCTGTGGACACATGAGCTGTTGCCCCAGCTAAGCTCTACCATGCATGCGTGTGCACCTCCCACCAGCCAGCTGATTTTTGGGTCTCTGCCGTGCATGCTCGGGGTGTGGGGTGCATGCGGGAGATGTGCACACATGCATGGGGGACTGAGGGGTCACATGTGCATGCATGGGGCAGCGCGGGGGCGTGCGCACTTACGACACAAGACAACAAAAAGGTTAACATTCACTGGTCTAAAAGGATCGTGTGGAAAAAGTTGTTGCACTGCATATACAAATTAAACTGCCTGGTGACTTAATAATTTAAAGGAAATACACAAACAACAAACCAAAAGAGTGACCTGGATAACTTTTCCACATTTGAGCTACAAAAAAACCTTGTTAAAGTTGGACATGTAGACTCTAGTATCAGTTAAACATTTTAGCAGGATTCTCTTTTGCAAATTTTCTCAGCATTTTGACAATTGTAGCAACAGTTTTTGTGATCATTCAGCATACAGTTACTGTATTTTTCGGAGTATAAGATGCACTGGAGTATAAGACGCACCAAGGTTTTGAAAAGGCTAGTAAGTAAGGTATAGAGGGATAGAGAGGGAGAGAAAGAGAAATACAGGAGGGAGGGAGGGAGAGAGAGTAGTTAGGTAGATAGATAGATAAAGGAGGGGGGAGAGAGAGAGAGAGAGAAAGCGCACATCCGCACGCAAGAGAGAGAAGGTAAGTTGGTAGGTAGAGAGATAGAGAGAGAAAGAGAGATATATGATAGGGAAAGAGACAGTGGTTAGGTAGGTAGATAGGGATATATATATATATATATATATATATATATATNGTTCTGGGAAGTCGGGGGGGGGGGAAGGAGGAGGGGGGGGGGGGGGGGGGGGGGGGGAGGGAGGGGTACACACAACAAAAAAAAAATTGTACTTCAATGAAGGTCTATACTTAATAGGCAGCTCCAGGTTTGCGGGTAGGGATAAAAAGGTCAGCTGTGCAGTTGTTTCCTTGTGGAGTGCCATTTTTTAAATCCCCTGATATTTAATCATTACATGAAACTAACAGGCAAGATCATCATCATTTTGGAGTATTCTGTTAATAATATGCTGATGACAGTGTGCAAATGGTGACAACAATATGTTGGTGAAAATGTGCATATGGTGATATCATGTAAAGTTTTTATCTGCTTGTGTCCTGACATCTGACGCAAATATGTAAGTTGTGTCATTTTCGGGATATAATCCCTGCTGATGTCTATAGCACTCAAATGCTGATTTGTATTGGAAAAGGCAGTTTTACAGAAAGGAGTGTACGGTCTGGATATTTGTAGTAGGGCATGGGGAAAAAAGTATATATGATTATTTAGCCCAGTGTCTTAATTGCTCAGCCATCACACCACTGCAATATTTAAACAGTGATATTAAATATCCTGATTTTTTACGTATGTAATTTTATCAGCCTAAATTACGTATATATTGAAAATATTGAAAATATTTGATTATTTTATTTTTCCTTGTGTGTATTTTATCACTTCTTCAAGTATTCATTTTGAGTTCTATGGTTAGAATGCATTCATCTTTCATTATTTTTGTAGTCGGTGAGTAAATCTAAAATGATTCCTAAAGCCACTTCTAGGTTGCCAATGGGGAAGACATACAAAAGTAAAAAACTGAAGTAAAAAAAGTTTTATGAGCTTACAATGAAAGAATACATCAGTTGATTATCGGTATAGAGTCAGATAATAATTTAGGAACAGTATTGATTTCTATATATTTTTAGAAGGCCTCTTTTTATTTTGAATAGAAGTACAGATATATATATATATAAACAAGATCCTTATAACCATCTTCTATAGTTAAGTGTTATGAATACATGGTAGATGCTGACTGATGCTTGAAAGTTAAATTATTTTGCTATGCTTCAGATGATATTTGAAGTAGTTCTATTAAATGTTTTCATTATTTTGACTCATTATTTCAGCCTAAAATTGCCAAAGCAAAAGGGGGGGAGCAGGAGAAGAAAGCCATCCATCCTTACAGCAGAAAAGCGGCTCAACTTACAAAAGAAGCACACAAACAGGTTAAAAAGGAAAAGTAAGTGTTTATATATTTTCTAATGTTGAATGGTATCTGGGATAATATTCTTGCTTTAGAAATATTGATGGCTCAATGGTTAAAGATGCTGAGCTTATCAGCTACAAAGCTACCCCAGCTCCCGCCCGTCAGTTTGAAAGCATTCAAATGCAAGTAGATAAATACCTACCACTTTGGTGAGAAGGTAAGAGTGTTCCTTATGCCTTGGCATATAGTCATGCTGGTCATTTGACCATGAAAGTATTTTTGGACAACATTGGTTCCCTCGACTAATAAATGGAGATGAGCACTGCCCCCTGGAGTCAGATAAAACTGTCAGGGGAAATTTTTTACCTTTATCTTATTAGTCTGGCATCTTATTTAAGGATGTATTAAAAATGAGATAAACATATAAGCACAAATGATAGCAATCCATTACTGTCCAGTTTTAAGATCTTTCATCATTTGCAGTGATATAAACCATGATTGATCTTACTGCTGTGTTTTCCCCAAAAATAAGACCCAGTCAGAGCGCAGGAATAGAAGGCAGGCGATCCCGACGACCCACACAAGCCTTAGGCCAGCCAAGAGACACAAAGATCAGCCTTCTGCAGCCACCCATCCATTGTGGCCCACCAACTCTTGGCTTTCCTGCAGCTTATACGGCATGTCTGGATCGCCTGCTTTTCCTCCAAAACCTCTGCCTACATCTGCTGCTGTGCAAAGACAAGCGTCCTGCAGCTGCCCGCCACTCTGGTTCCAACTCTCTGCTTTCTTATGGCCTGCATGGTGCATCCAGGTCGCATGCCTCCCCCCACCTTTGCCTCTGCCTGCTGCTTTGACAGGTAATCAACTCACCTGCACTGCCTGGGCTGCTGCTGCTGGTGGACACCATTGGCTCGCACACGCTTGTTGCCTCCTATGCTGGGGACACACACTCACACACACACACACACACACACACTTCACTAGGACTTATTTTTGGGGTAGGTCTTATATTAGCCACACTTTTAAAAATCAGGCTAGGAGTAATTTTGGGGTAGGTCTTATTTTCAGGGAAATGCAGGATTTCATTATTTTATTTTGATCATGTGATACACCCAAAACTTGCATCGTGCATACTCCTGAATTGTCTTGAATAACTGCCAAAAACTGATCTGGCTCTGATAGTGGAAACTAGATAATTGATTTTACACTGCTACTAAAAATTTAAAACTCTAGTCTGTAGGTAGGTCACTTTCTCCAGCATTCCTAATCAAGATCAGTGACAAGGAGAAGTTAATATGTGTGTAACTCCCAGCCCAGGAATTTACAACGGAAATAGAATTCTTTATAATATTGATGCAATTTCTGTGCAAATAATCCTTAGTATTAATAGCACAATGCAATACAATATTATAAAACCTTAACTTTGAATCCTGCTTTTAAGATTATCTTTTTACAAGTGATTTAAACAATTTTGCTGTGGTGTTTTAGAAATAAAAGTGATAGCAATAGCAATAGCAGTTAGACTTATATACCGCTTCATAGGGCTTTCAGCCCTCTCTAAGCGGTTT